TGGAATATTTCTTCATCATCTGATGAATGAACTTCCTCAGGAACTATTTTGTCACCACTGGAAGAGTTACAATCATTGATATCACACTTCATTGAATCTGCACTTTCATAAACACAGACAATTTCTCCAACACCTGAACAATTATCATCATCAGGCATTGACACACTGATTTCCTCTTCTTGTTCATCTTTCTCACTCAATGTATTGTTTGCTATGTTTTCATTTGAGTCAATTTTTTCAATTACAGAACTTTTATTTAGACAAATCGATTCCGATGATTCGAGAGCAACTTCTAGTGAATCAAGGTAAAAAAGGTCAGGGCCTGGATCAGAAGTTACCTTTTTCACTGAATTCTGAGAGCTACCATACCTTGATCTACATACACTTCCTGCTTCACTGCTGAACAGTGACACTGATCTAGTTGATTTCTTTCTTTGTTTCTTGAACTTTTTGAAGCCCCAAAAAAGGGCAATAGCACACAATACAGTTGAAATCCCAGCAGAAACAAGAACAGCTGTTAAAACTCTAGTACTCCTCCCTCTTCTTTTCACCCTTACCCTGTGTGCAGCTGGGATAAAGGGATGGTGATGAGAATGTGGATGAGGATGCCGATGAACTCGTGGCACCGGCGAAGGAGCTGGAGCTTCAGGGGCAATCGATGGTGATGGAGAAGGTGAAGGTGATACTGCAAAATATGCAAAATCACCATTTCTTGGACTAAACCTCCTTAGTCCAAGCAAAGTTCTGAACTTTTCCACAATCAAGATTTGCTTCCCTCCATAGATCTTTCCAATTGGACTTTCATTTCCATCCCCATTTCTAACCATATAATGTATCTCTTTAAAGCCATGAATACTATTCAAGTACTTTGCAGCATTCAATGAGACATCCCTAACCAAAATATGTGTACAACAGAAAGATACAAGAATGAAGGTGATGATAAAGAGAAAATGTAAAAGAATCCTAAAACCATGATGACCCATTTTCTTGAAACAAAAATCATGAAAGAAATCATCAACCTTTATGCAAATATAAATTCAACCCAACATTCTTTTTAATTTTTCTTCTCTGTTATTAAAAATGTAATGCACCAAAGAGAAAAAAGAAGAAATCTTTATTGCTACTCCAAGGAACCCCTGAGTTGTGGCAGTTGTAGGTGTACTGGACCTTCTTTATTTTCTCTCTGTTACCTCTTTTCTCTCTCCTCTCCTTCCATTAATTCTCCCTGCTGAATACTGTTAATAGTAGTACATCATTTTTCAATAGTACACTTATGTTCTTGCTTACTTTTTTGAGTTTTTGTCTTTATGTCTTTTATCTTCTCTAGTCACTAATAACTAAACAACCAAGAATCAAGAATCAAGAAAAGACCATGTTTTTTTTTCTTGATTTGCATAATTTCAATTTAGTAAAACAGACCAATGGGTATTTTGCATTTGAAAAACTAAGGTTTTTGAAGCTAAAAAGTTGTAATTTTTCAATCTAAAAATGTGGTAGGGTAGAAATTGGTTGGACTTGCCTTACATCATAGGAAGGTGACAATTTATTATGTGTAAGAAAACGAAACAGAAATCGTCCATCACTTTCTCATGTGATCCTCTCACATAGATACATTTTTATGAAAATAAATTAGATATTTATGTTGTGATAAAAAGATTCAAGGAAAAAGTTAGATTCTTATGCTGCATTATTTTATAGAGATTATAAGCTGCTGATCTCTATTACTATTAAATCACAGCCGTCATACTTGACACAATTATCTCCAACATTATCACAATGTTGGGACTTACTTCTTTTGCAGTCAATTCATTAACACTCTTTTTTCTGTCATGTAAAAGTTTTCTATCATTTCTTAATCTACAAAAAGTTCATTTATCCAATTATTTTTTATCTGCAATATATGACACATTCTTTTTCTAGTTTGTTCCAAATTAGAAAATGATTAACTAAGCATTTCACATTTTATTCTTAATGAAATTTTTTTATAAAGCCACGAATGTTATGACAAACATGTTTAGGGTCATAAGTTTCAAAAATTTATACACGCAAATATTGTACAAGTTTTAAATATCTCATTTATATATTTTTTAAGTCTTAATTCAAACTATGTCACATAAATTGTAATGGAGAGTAATACTCCATGCGTCCAATAATAGTTGTCCACTATACTAATTTAGGATGTCCAATAATATTTTTCCTATATATGAAATCAATGGATAATTTTACACTTAGTTCCTAGTTCCTAATTTACTCTTATCATTAATCATAGTTATTTATTTATTACATTTTAAAGATATTGTATTTATTAGTATATTCAAAGGGTGGTATATTATCATTCTATTTATAGTTTTTTAAGAAGTGCGCAAAGTCAATAGTGGACAAGTATTGTTGAACAGAGAAAGATTATTAAGTAAGGAAAGATGTGTTGCGTACTACCTCCAAGATGTGACCTAATGGTCAATGAATTTAGTTGAGAATCATGAGCTCTTAGGTTCAACCCTAGCATAGACAAAAAAAAATACTAGCTGATTTCTTTTCATCTGTCTTAATCTTCGTGGACAGAGTCACCTGATAGCTATTGCTGGTGAGAGATTGCACGGTATCTTGTGAAATTAGACATGTTACACGAAAGTTGACTCAGACATCATGATCGTTAAATAAAAAAAAGTGTTTTATAAGTAAGAAAAAATAGTATCCAATGTGCAAGGCCATATGTCCTTTTCAAGGTACACTTTTTTTGTTAATTGATTAGTTAATTACAAAAAGTACTATATGTAATATAGGTTTGACAATGTAACATTTTGAATAATAAATGCTAAAAACTTTTTTTTTTGTTTCTTATGTTGTGCCAAACCACATGGAGTGGTGAATTGTAATAGAGAAAACCAAATGGCCGCTTGTAACCGACAACAGTGACATGTATTTGGTTATTGGCTTTACGTTGCCGCTAAAATGAAATGTTGTCATGTATCTTACGCTGCCTATTTCATTACACTAGTTAACCTTAGTCATGCCAAACTCAATTGCAAAAAGTTCTTTTTTACTAAAATTAGAGGGAAATAAGGAATTAATTTAGCTAGCTAGATCTGTTTTTATTCTTGTGTGTTTATGTAACTAGTCCCTATCATGGTTGGTTCAACTAATTTTTACCATGATTATTCTATCTTATGATATGTATATGCCTTTATTCCTTTAAAGTTCTCAATTTTCCTTATTGTAGCTTTAGGTCATGTTTGTATTCCCTTCCCCACCCTTGGAGTAAGAAAAAAGGGAGATGTTATTGATCTCTATCACTTTTTTTTTTTGGTTATTGATTTCTATATTCTACGACAAAAATTTACAAATTCGATTAATGCTAGGAAAATGTTCCTGCTAAGGGTCGAATTCAACACTTTTGAAAGAGTTTAATTCACCCTCTATCACATTTTGATTTAACTTTGTTCAATTCAAGGTCATATTTTTCGATTTTACCTTGACTTCTTTGTTTTGTTTTTGTTGACAACTTAGGTTTTACTTTGACAATTAATGAATTATAAAGTTCCAAAGCTACATTGATTGGTCCCACCAGCAGTAGAAATTCTTTTGTTAGTTATATGTTTGACTTTTGTACTTATTGGAATTAGGATCAGCATCTACACTATCTTTTGAGTCAATCATATAGATATGATTAATAATAAGTAGGTAAATATAGAAGAAATATGTTAGTCAATTGTCCTCTCAATTTAAGATAATCCTATGTTTTTAGTAATATTTTGTTTTGTTTTCCATCTCGTCAACTTTATAATATATACTTCATACAAACAAGTACCGAGAACCATATTATAGCAATTTTTGAAAAAATATCTAAAGTTCATATGGGTGTAAACAAATAGGGGTCAACTTTTGAAAAAAATTAGTACAATGCAAATTAATGAGTACTATGTATTCTTCAACCTCAATAGTAGCAGTCTGACATTGACACAATAGTCGGCAATAGTTGGTAAATCCAAGTTTTCATAAATTGGGCTTGGCAGCACCAGCAACTTATCCATTTTCCAGTGGGCTGAATTTGGGGTAAGTCCATAAAATATTTGTCCTTCAGGCTGCTGCTTAAGTTGAAGACTTGTTATATAGTGTATCGATTCGCTCTATATTAATACGAACAAATACATCGAATCGATACAACTCCAAGTGAACAGATACATCAAATTAATACAACTTCAAGTGAATAGGTACATAGCAAAACAATAAAACCTAAACCCTTACTATGCATTGTAAATTTTCCAAATCCTCAATATTTTGAGTAAATACAAAACATATGTTTGCACTGTTAGATAATTTTTCCTTGTTGTTTGTAAGTGGTTATTTGATTAAACGTTATTGTCTTTGTAAATAAAGTTTGAGAATATATTATGGAGTAATTTTTAGTCAAAAATTGCTTATTTAGACTTTGAAGAGCAAGTGTGACAACCAATTTAGTAAGTCTTCTGAAAAATTGTGGAAGCAACATATGGTAAAAGAATTTAGACAATTATGATTAAAGGAATAACTACTCAATATTCCAAGTGCGTAAAATGGAAAGGTGAATGACACAAGTCATAACTATACATACAAAAATGGTTGTAAATACATGCACCTAGCTATTCTATTTAAATAAAATTTAAATTAATTCTTGGTATGTAGTTTATAAATATATAAATTTCATTTAAAAAAAAGTTAAAGATTTTGTGTGTAAATTTTCGATCAACTTTAAACTGTTTAAGTTTTAACTCTAAAAAAAATAAAAAGTCCCACATAAATCGTGACACAATAATTATATGTTTTTCTCATTCCACTTATGCGTGAATTTTAGATGTAGTCGAATAAGTTTAGTAAAGTAATACTTTATGTTTTTTTATTCCACTTATGCGTGTATTTTAGATGTATGTATTAATATTTAATAGGGATAACACAAGCTTTTACACTTCGGGTATTTTGTTCGGCGAGAGCTGAAAAAGAACACTTGAAAAATAATGAAGCGGAGAAGTAGACGATTCTCTGTGGCATTTCGTCGAACAGTTTATGTACAATATAAAGAACCACCCTCTGCTCTCCATTGCTATCCCATTAAACCTCGGAATACGCCTCCTAATCTCTTCATCGGCAATGGCCGCCGGTACGGAAACGTTTTCTTCGATGAGAATTACAATCTTGTCCCTGAATTTCCTTCTTGGAATCGTCTCTTGCATCATTTCAATTCCTCCGGCCTGGTTGATCAGGTGATTCTCCTTTATTCTGATATGCTCTCTTGTAGAGTAACTAGTTAACTTTCCACTTAGGGTGAAAAACAAGTTTCTGGAATATTAGTAAAATGACTTTCTTGATTTATATAGGGAAATCAAGTTCTACAATGACATTGTTTGTTAATTATATCTTCCCCACCCATCCAACGGTCCCAATACCTAACCCTTGATCATTCCACCCCTTTACCAACACTAGAATGAGTAAGAAATCAAACTTATTTTTCAAGAAAACATGTTCTTGTTTTACAATGAAAAATGTTCTCCTTCGTACCAAACACACCCTTTAATGTATTTCTAATCACCCCTAATCAGCAAATCAAATATTTATTTTATCAAAATTCAATGGATATAAAGTTATGCTATGGTTTCTTTTATTATTCTGCTTTTTATTCTTAAATCAAAATATGTCTATGCAGAAAACCAGTGAACAAAATTAGTAAGTGGCAAAACAAGGAATGGAACATATTTGTGTTAGAAAATCCATCCGAGCAATATCTCTTTTATTATAACGATTTTTTATAATCCTTTCTTCAATAACACAATTTGATTTACTCTGGTAGAGAAATCCAACCACCAGAAAAGAAACAAAATCTTCAGAAACTTTGGAAATTGGCTCACATGTAGACAAATAGACAATGGGTTGATGATGCCTCTACTGAATTGAATGTGTATACAACCTCTAATTTTTAACTCATAGAACAGAAGACTGTGAAATAAAAAACTGAAAGTCAGAGCTTGTTAACTTGTTTGTAGGAAAAGGTGAAAGAATTTGTTGCTGAGCAAGTTCAAGAATCGGAAGAGGGAATTTCTACGGACTGCATTGTTAGTGGTGCCTTTATGAAAATTGTTGGAAAAGAGCAAGAGTTTTGTTATGGTTAAGGATTGGGAACAAAGCCAACAAGTAGGAGATCCACACATAGAATTTACAAGCAATTATAAGCACAAAAGGGAGCTAGGAAAAGAATGTCATTAACGAGAGAGTATAGGATCCGATGGAAGTACAAAATTATCTTGTGGAGAAATGGAAAACTCGAGAAGTCATGAAAGCTCGTCTTGAACGGGCAAAAATCTTAAGTGAGTATCATGGCACTATTTTCCCATATTCAGAATTCAAGGTATTTTATTTGGTATAACTTTCAGTTATTCACTGTTAATTGTTAGAAGATTTTGATGAAACAACAAGAAATAGAAGTAAACAATATTGCTTTATATTGTTATGATAACAACTAAATTTAACAATAGTATTAAAATGTATCTGAAGCGGGATCTCGGCTTAGATTCACACTTTCTTTTGTCTTTCCTTGAAAAGCCATTTACAGTCTTCTATGAGTCCCTAATTGTGGTAGGTAACAGACCATTTGTTGAGTGAATAGCTGCAGGTGCATGACAAATTATATGTACTATCAAATATGTTCAGGAGAGTTACAGAAAGTGGCATGTTGTTTTCATTTATGCACTTATTTTCCTATTTATTACACCCAAGTGCTTACACTGTCTAGTTTTGAATTTAGTCTTTTGTTTTCATTGCACTTCTTTCCTATTCATCAACCTTTTTTTAGTGTTATGTTACACTGTTAATTTTCAATTCCAATGACCTTTGGTTCTGCAAATGGCTCACCTCCAAATAAGAAGCCAAGAAGATACCCAAGTTAGCAACTACAGTGGTAACAGGCAAAAAAACTGAGCTCGAGCCATGAGAAATCCTTACCAGGGACCTTGGATCAACTAGAAACCCTTTTGGAGAGCTTATAGGGGAGATGGGTGAAGAAATTAATGAAAAAAGGCCTTTGAATCGTGTTAAAAGCTTTTAAAAAGCTTCTGCCGACTTAAATCTACAGACTGACTGTCAGTCGTCAATAATTCACGGTCGTGGATCTCCTCGTGGATCAATCCGCGTCCCATAAATCCCACCTTACGTTGGGGGTTGTCCAGAACTTGATTTTTCACCCTTTCAAAACTTTTTCACGACCCAATTCACAAGTCATACTTCAACTCACGACCATACTTTGGCTCGTCGATTGCCTCAACAGAGCATGGTGTGGTAAAATGGGTATAACTTTTTACTCCAAAGTCAGATGGATGCGCGGTTTGGCTTGCTGGAAATTTGACTCATAGGACTTTCTTTTTATAGGTAACTCAGCCTCTAGATCCCCATATGCTGGAAGATATGCTTGTTAAAAGTCAGTCCATACTTGGAACCACTTGAAATACTCCACCATAGTCCTATTTAATTTCAACTTTTGTTCTAAGGCTTCCTTTGGTCTCTGACTAAGTCTAATTCTTTAAATGACTTATTATAAGGGTTCCTTGGTATACTTACCCATTTTCAACTTTTGTCTTCGGATATTAAACCGACTTGTCGGCGTTTAAAACTCGAATTCGTACTAGAAACTACGGGGTGTTGCATTGATCTTGCAGAACTGGATATGTCATCCATCTCTCTAGATGAAAGAGATTGACTGGAAAGAAATTTTGAAGAGGAGGAAATTCATGCTACCATCAAGGCTTGTGCACCTGACAAGGCTCCAGGCCCTGACGGCTTTACAATGGCCTTTTTTCCAGAAGGCATGGGAAGTCATTAAATATGAAGTAATCGGGGCCCTAAACCCACTTTCACCATAACTGTCATATGGTCAAGTCCTATAATTGCTTCCTTTATTGCCCTCATTCCTAAAAAGAAAGGGGCAATAGAATTAAAAGATTACAGATCAGTCTTATTGGGATAGTGTACAAGTTAATAGCAAAGATTCTTGTGGAGAGACTTAAATTTGTAATTGGGAAGCTGAGACTACCAAAATGCATTTGTTAAGGGTAGACAAATCTCAGATGTTGTATTGATAGCAAATGAGGTGCTGAATTGGAAGTAGAAATCAGGAGACGCAGGGTCGTTGTTTAAACTTGACATAGAGAAAGCTTTTGACAAGCTTAATTGGGCCTATCTGTTCACAATCTTGAGAAGGATGGGATTTGGGAATAGGTGGATCAAATACAGTCTGACAATGGTAATGCTGTGCTCATTAACAGGGGGCTGCAGGTTTTTTCTCTCCTCAAAAAGGGCTAAGGCAGGGAGACTCCCTCTCTCCCTTTCTTTTCATCCTTGCTATGGAAGGCCTTAGTAAGATGCTCCAAAAAGCATGTCAACTACAATTGATTGAAGGCTTCAAAGTAGGCAGGCCCACGGGAAACAATGTCACAGTTTCACATCTGCTTTATGCAGATGATACTCTGCTATTTTGTGGGGCATATAGATCACAAGTTATTAAGCTAAACTTGATTTTGCACATTTTTGAAGCTGTCTCTAACTACACACAAATATGTCAAAAAACACTATCTATCCTGTAAACTCAGTGCAGAATCTGGTAGAGCTAGCAGGAATCATGTGCTGCAACATAGGGTCCTTTTCAACAACTTATCTTGAGTTGCCTTTAGGTGCAAATTTCAAGGCTAACGAGTTATGGTTGGGAATAATTGAGAAGTTTGAAAATAGACTAGCAACATGGCAAATGCATTATCTTTCTTTTGGAGGAAGAGTTACATTGATTAATAGTGTAATGGACAACATCCCTACATATCATATGTCCCTTTTCCCTAGTCCTGCATCTCGAAAAGCTCGACAAAATGAGAAGGAATTTTCTATGGGAAGGCAACATCAAGGATCATAAGTTTCACTTGGTTAAATGGGCAAAAGTGACACAACCTAAATCTCAAGGGGGTTTGGGTATCAAAGACCTTGCAGCTCACAATAAAAGCATGATGATGAAATGGTTATGGAGGTACGGAACTGAAGACTTTGGATTGTGGAAAGAGGTGATCAAAGCTAAACAGGGTGAGCTTACTCACTGGTCCACTAAAGTCTCAGCAGATGCATATGGAGTTGGTGTATGGAAAAGGATCAGTAAACTTTGGCCAGATTTTGCTGGGAACGTCACATTTGGAGTTTTTTTCTTTTTTTTTGTTCATAAGCTCATAACATCAGATAAGTTATTCTAATCAAACACAACCAACAGTGCCCTGTCATTAGTCAACCCAGATAAAGAGGAAAAAAACATAAGCACACACAATGTCAAGATACATCTAAGATAACACAGGAGAATTTAACTCCTTGGTGGTTTTGTTTATGAGGGACTTGTGGATGTGAGGGATGACACAACCACCAGCAATGGTACCTTTGATAAGGGTGTCAAGTTCCTCGTCTCCACGAATGGCCAATTGCAAGTGCCTGGGAGTGATTCTCTTCACCTTAAGATCCTTGCTTGCATTACCAGCTAATTCAAGAACCTCTGCAGTCAGGTACTCCAGAATTGCAGCAGAGTAAACAGCTGCTGTTGCTCCAACCCTGCCATGGGCAGAGGTTCTGGTCTTGAGCTGACGGTGAATTTCTTCCCACTGGAAACTGCAGACCCGCACGAGATGAACGAGAGATTGGCTTTTTCTTGTCTTTCTCCTTGTTGGCAGCCGCTGCAGCTGTTGTCTTCCCCGCCACTAGCCCTTTCCCTCCTTTTCCTGCCATTTTCCTTATTTCAAAACTTTTTTCTTTGTTTGTATTGTTCACATTTAGAGTTGTCAATGGATCTCACATCAAATTTTGGAAAGACATATGATTGGGAGACACAACTTTGGGTGAGGAATTTCCAAATTTGCATCTCATTGCAGCTGAACCAAATTCTACCATAGCATCCAACAAATCAGACGACATTTGGGACCTAAGGTTCAAGAGAAACCTAAATGACTGGGAACTTAATGACATATTTGGTCTCTTTGCCAAATTGCAGTCTTGCTCCTTTTCGCCCCAAGAGCCTGATAGATTGAAATGGGGTAACTCAAGAAAAGGTCACTACACAACAAAGGAAGGATAACACAGTTTATGCTCAAGGAACTCAATAATTGACAAATGGCCATGGAAGCATATATGGAAGACAAAATTACCTACCAAAGTGATCTGTTTCAGCTGGACTGCACTGCATAACTCATGCCTCACACAGGATAATCTCTCCAAAAGGAAATTCCAACTTGCTAACCGATGCTATTTCTGCCACAAGCACACAGAAAGTGTCAACCATTTGCTACTGCCCAGCTGCCCTAGACCTCTGGAATATGTTTTGTTGCTTTTTTGGTCTTTCCTAGGTCATGCCTTTCTCTATTTGGGATGCTCTTGAAAGTTGGAGTTCACGGGAAGTTGACAAATCCATCAAGAATATGTCGATGATGATCCCTGGTGCTATCTTTTGGTGTTTATAGACAGAGAGGAACAAAAGATGTTTATATTGGAATTTCAACTTTTAGAAATCTTTTGCGAGGCAGATGTCTAGTTAGCCGTTTTGGTTGGTCCAAATTGACCCCTGTAAATAATTTAGAACTCTTCCTGGATTTTGTTAGCTCTATAGCTTAGAAAGAGGTTACAAATCCTTTTTTTTTTTTTTGATGAAGTAAGAAGAATGTCATTAACAAAGCATCAAGCATCAAGCAGATGCACAGATTACAAAAGAAAGAAATATCAGCTCCCAAAAAGGCAAAAAAAAGCTATCTAAACAGCTAACAACAGAGATCTATGGAGCTGATAAATTCCAGGAAAGAATCGGCACTAAGTACAGGAGAGAGATTAACCCAACCAAAAAGAGTAATCAAACATCTTGCTTTAAAGGTAGAGATGGGAATTGGGGTGCCATCAAAACATCTTTTGTTCCTCTCCGTCCATAAGCACCACAAAATACAGGCTGGAACCAAAGACCGGATCTGCTTGATGGACTTCCCAACTTTCCAAGAACTCCAACACACAAAAGCCTCTCTCAATGATCTTGGCATGACCCAAGTGAGTCCAAAAAGTGAGAAGAACATGTTCCATAGGCCTGTTGCAACTGTGCAATGAAGGAACAAGTGATTAATAGATTCTGAGTTGCACAAGCACATGTAGCATCTGTTGACTATTTGGAATTTCCTCCTCATGAGATTATTCTGAGTCAAGCAAGAGTCTTTTAGAGTAATCCTTTTTTTGTGAGCTTAACTGATCTATCCTTGTAAAGCTTGTATCTTCTTGATGCCTTTGAATGAATCTACTTACTTCATCAAAAAAATAAAAAGAATTGACAAGACAACTTGTCCGCAAAACTAATCGTGAAGATATGTTCCATGAAAATAAGATCTTTAGAGGAGATAACATAGAAGTTCAAGCTTATAAATGCACTAGTAAGCGCGTTGCAAAATTTTCAGGTTATAGTTTTCGTAATTATAGTTGACTAGTGTCATCATAACAATGAACTTACCCTTAGGGGTGGCCCAGTGGTTTGGGCTTGGGACTTTAATGTTGGAGGTCTCAAGTTTGAAATCCCTTGCCAGCGAAAGCAAGGGGTTTGCCTTCTGGGTCGAGTTCGTCGCACCAGGCTTGCCTAGTGCGGGTTACCTCAACTATGTGGTTTGCGAGCTATTGCATAGGAGGTGGGGTTTTACCCTGTGCGCACCCAAAGGGTAGCGGCTGCGGGTTTTCCATGTCATAAAAAAAAATAAAATAACAATGAACTTGTCCCTCCCTCTTTTCTCATTTCTTAGAATTTGTCAGGAACTATTTGATGAGAAGAAACCAAACATCTCATCCCATGCTGTTGGACTAAGGTATACTTGACATATTTCTATATTAGCTCATATATTTGGTTAACATATAAATTATAAACAAGCAGGTGCTTTAAAGAGAGTACTGGACTCAAATTCTTGTAATTTGAGGTTGAAAACACTCCATGTAGCCCAATATTGGTGAATTTCTTGCAACATTAGCATAGTATGCAAACTTATATGTTCTTAAAGATTCAAGAGCAGACTTATACTTGTTAGTTCGAGGGGAGATGTTGATGAACGAATTTCCAAGTTAATTGATTGCCGATGACATTTGAGATTTGAGAATATTGGAATTTGTTGGTACAGTGGCAGATAACCAACTTAAATTAAAGTTCCTTTTCCTACTATTTCTTTTTTTTAGCTTCCCTTAAAAAAAATTATGTTCTTCCAAGTCTACGATAGTCCACAAATATTATGGACCAGAAGTGAATCTAGAATATAAAAGTAATAATACACATAATTCAATATCATGTGAAGGTAATCTAAATATCAATCTAGAACAAATTTTCTTACTAATTTAGAACTATGAATATTCAATCTACTCGGATGCTTAGAATTTAATTTCATTCAATTTTTTTACTAATTTAGAAGTATGAATATTTAATTCACTCATATGCTTAGAATTTAATTTCATTCAAATTTCTTACTAATTTAGAAGTATGAATATTTAATTCACTCATATGTTTAGAATTTAATTTTATTTAAATTTTCTTCCTAATTTAGAAGTAAATAATTCATTTTCATTCCATTTGCTTGAGAGGAATTAAATTCTGAGCATTATAAATAAGATGCTTATGTAGCAGCTTTTGAATATTATTAGGGTTCCCAAGTGGCGCGTTCCTGGAGGCAAATCGAAGTAGAGCAAAAGAAAGGTTGGGTGCTGGTGCGGAGCGACCATCCGTTCTCGAATAGGTGGGGCCTACGCTCTAGATCCTCCTTGCTTGCAGAAACGTGTGGTCGTCTTTGAAGTTATCACTCTCTGGTTTTCTCTCTTGTTTCCTTGATTTCACAATGTAAGAACATTTCTCTTGCTTTCTTTTTATTCTCCCAGTTATATGTCTTATGCCTCATTTGTTTTCATTAAGATTAAAACGTTTGAATCTCAATACACATATGAATATTAAGATGTTCTTTAAGATTTAGAGGTCTGAATCTGAATACTATATAGTTAAGACCGTTTGTTTTCTCAACATCTGAATGTATAAAATTTATCTTTGTTTAGAAAATAATAAATATAAAATTCAATTAAAAATACTAAATTAATCTAATATTATATCAATAAATATTTTAATTTTTTTATGACAATTGGTGGTGGTGATGACTAACGATGGTGATTGTGTGTACCAGATGACGTTGACTACTGATGGTGGTTGTGTGGGTCGTTTGGTGTGAAGGTTAACACCAGTTAGTTCTGGAATTATATTATAGTGCTACTTAATTTGTTGTTTGGTTGGCAAGTCCGGGATAACTTATTTCGGGATTAATAATTAGTATCGGGATAAGTTATCCCTTTCCTTGGACGATACAGTAATCTCGGGATCAAATAAGTAAATGACAAAAATATACCTTTAAACCTTTTTTATACATTACTTTTCACATTAATAATTGGTATTTTTGTAAACAAATAAATTGTTCTTAAAATTTATTATTTTGAATACAACAAACCAAACACACAATAAAAAATAATTTTAGCATAAGTTATCCCATCATAACGAATCCTATCATAACTTATTCCATTATAAATAATCAACATAACTTGAATTCAAACCAAACGACTTCTTATGGTATAGTGGTTGGCACTAATGATTAATCGTGATTGTTGGTAGTGATGACTGATAATTTGTAGTGGAATGATACTGATAACTAGTGGTATTGGTGAATGATGATGGTGGTTAGCAATATATATTGTTAACTAATGGTGGTAATTATCGATTGTGATTAGTGGATGTAATTAATAGTAGTTGGTGGTGATGATTGCAAATAATGGTAAAGGTAATGACGATTGGTTTTGGTGATTGACGGTAGTGATAGTTGTGGTTGGGCCGAGGATGGTTGTGGATGGTAGGTGGTGGTGATTGGCGGTGGTGTGATAGTTGTGACTGAAATGGTGGTTGTGGGTGGTGACCGAAAGTATATGGAGTAAAATAAGAAAACAAACACACTTAAACAAACAAACTTAATGATTAAATGCAAACAAATGAGGCCTTCGACCTTAATAATGGTTTGAATTGCGTTCATTTTCAGATGTCAGCTCATAGTGTAACATTTCCTTTTTCCTTTTAATATTACTTCTTTATTCTGATTAGGTCTAATTCATTCAGATCTAATAGGTCTTGAAGTACTATTTCTGTATCTCCTGACCAAATCCACCTACATTAGGATTATTCGTTAATAGTTGATCAAATTTGATAGACTTGGAAATAAGCTTGTCCAAGAGAACAGTCATATAGATTATTTTGAACTTGTTGTTCACTTAAAAATGCCTGTGAGTTTACCACCATTCTATCCACTACCGCCATCATCAATTACCTCCCCTGTACAACTATCACTGCAAACCATCACAGCAACAAGGAATGAAACTAGTCACCACCACAAGCCATCATCAGCCACCACTGCAAAACCACTACTACAGCCCCTCACCAACCATGATAATCACCAATCGCCACCTCATAACTATCACCACTGACAACCACCACTATTTGTTGCCACCACTGCTAGTGTCTTAAGTGTGTTTTATCAAATAAACATTTTTTACTATACCATCTAAATAAAGGTTTTTATTCTTTTGTGGATTCATCTGTAATTGTCATTTTATTACAATTTTACTTGTACCAATTTATAAAAAAGAAAGGGCCTTACACTTGCTTATCTAAGTGATTCTAACAATTTGTTTTATGCTTGTGTTAGGTCCCAAACCGATGATAATTTCACAAGTTACTTTGGGGAGGTTCCACCAATTCTTGACTATTTTTACTGCCAAACCTACCCAAAAAATTCGCAGGAATCGTCTATACTCAGCAGCCACAGGTAGTAGTTATTTGGTTCGTGTAAATAAGTATGTTAACATAATAGAACATCCCTATTCATAAAAGAATACTTGGAAATCTCATGTTTTCATTGCCTGGAGGTTTCAAATCTCTGGACTTTCTGAAAAATCAGAATGAAAGGATCCCTCTGTCAAATGGTTCATTTACTTTATTCAGAGGTTTAAGATATTAAAAGAGAGAGATGATTTATTTGTGTCAAATGGTTCATTTACTTTATTCAGAGGTTTAAGATATTAAAAGAGAGAGATGATTTATTTGTGATTAATTTTTAACAAATCTCTTCATGAGAAATCATATTCTATTTTAAATATGTCACAATGGGTTGCATTGATTTAACTCATTTACAAGTGTACGATACATTAAAGAGATGTTTTTTCTCATTTCAAATTTTCACATACATTTAGAGTCATTCTGAATGTGGATGTTATCAGCTGCAATTATAATTCCTTTTTAGTTACGCTACATCTTATGGTCTATTCATAGCCTTTGTACTCTGTTTATATCTCTTGGAAAATGTAACCTCCACAGGCAATTCAATGAACACTATCAATCACATCATCACAATAATCAATTGCCAACAGATCTGTTTGTGATGAATCGACCTGATGTGTCTCCAACCTCGAGGTAAAATTAATAGTATGTTTTTTTACCTAGAGCATATTCGTGGTAGTCATTTTGTTAATCAACTTGAACAATATATGTGGATTCTTTCCTCTACTTTTTTGATTACTAATGGATTATCCTTCACTTTTTACGGCAATATTTTTTTTACAATCCACTAAATGCTAGTTTTAAACATACCTAGGCATGTGTTTGTTGATGCAAGTACCAACGGCTTAAATTACGTGGTATGTTTCTATAACCTCTTTGTTTGTTTGTTTGTTTCTTTTATCACGTGTTTATTTTATTTTTGAAATCTTTCTTGTGATAGCTGAATACTTGTATTTCAGCCTTACCATGCATATAATTTTTAATTTTTTTTTGGTATAAAAATATAATGCCAACTCGAATTGGCTTTAGCAGGTTACGCCGCTAATAATTCAAGGGCATGGTCTCTAATTATCAAATTCTCTCTTTTATTGAGTTGTTAATGTAAATATAAACTTCTTTTTAATACTCCATATCAACTAGCCCGTCTTCTAATAATGCAGATTGACTATTCACGTTGTATAGTGCCAAGGCTGCATCAATCATCTTATCATTCAGGAGTATATCTCATCCCTAATTTATTTTCAGTAATTTAACCAGTCTAGTTTTTAAAATTAAAATTTTCAATAAATGTGTATATGTAACCATTTAAAAGTAGGTGTGCTATGTTTCTAAATGTTCATCTTTTATGGAATGAATGCAGAGAGAAGTTGTTGAGCAAGAACATAGACAGAGCAGGATAGATTATCCTCAACCTCAGGTGATCAGGTAGCATTCCTCATTTTGGATTAGAAAGGCTTTTTTTTTAAAAAAAAAGAAAAATTCCATAAACTGATAACAACTTTATTCGGATATCCGAAGACAATCCTAATGTATTATGTATGTAGTTTTTATTTTCTTTTTCATTTTCTCTAAAAGTAATTTCAACATACAACTTTCCTCCATTTTTTTTGTCAAAACCAAATCCAAAGCCTTTAAAACACCTGTTATACTAATTATGTGATGACCTGTAAAATTACCACAAAATTAAAATCATGAACTTATGTGACTTGAAATGCAGGCCTGCTCCATATACGCTATATGATCCAAGATATGCTGACATTGGTCTACCGGTGGATCCTTATTTACGTGCAATGAAGCTGAATCCACACTTTTGTAAGTTATTTTATTTTTTAAAATACCTTTGTATTCTTAGAATTATAAATCAAAAGAAGAACAAAAAGGAACTAGCACTGTGTAATATCAACTGCTCGGTATCTGTATCCCTTGTATTGCAGCAATGCAAAAAGCGACAAGTGAGGAAAGTTCAACCACTAAAAGAAAACGGGTATGGTCTCTAATTATGACATTTTCTCTTTTCTTGAGTTATTAATGTAACTCAAACTTCTTTTTGATACTCTGTATTGAATAGCTCATCGTCTAATAATGCAAATAAATGCAGACTGACTATGCATGTAACAGAGTGCCGAGGCTGCATCAATCATCTTCTCATTCTGGAGTATATCTCATCCCTAATTTATTTTCAATAGTTTAACCAATCTATTTTTAAAAAATTAAAAATTTCAATAAATGTCTATATGTAGCGATTTAAAAAATAGTTAAGTGCTATGTTCCTAATTTTCCATCTTTTATGAAATGAATGCAGAGAGAAGTTGTTGAGCCAGAACATAGACAGAGCAGGATAGATTATCCTCAGGCGATCAGGTAACATTCCACATTTTGGTTTACAAAAGCCTTTAAAATATATATTTCCATAAATTTAAAACACCTTTATTCGGATATACGAAGACAATCCTAAAGTGTATGTAGGTTTTTTCTTTTCATTTTCTCTTTAGATTAATTTCAACATACAACTTTCCTCCAATTTTTTTGCCAAAACCAAATCCAAAGCCTACATTAACTTTATCTGTTGTTATACTAATTATGTGACTTGAAATGCAGTCCTCCTTTTGAGCCATACGATCCAAGGTATGCTGCCATGGGTCTACCCATGGATCCTTACTTGCGTGCATTCAAGCTGAACCCCAACTTAGGGTAAGTTATTTTTTGTTTTTAACAACTTTGTATTAGAATTATAATAAAAAAGAAGAACAAAAAGGAACTATCCTTGTGACTGTCAACTGATTTATATCTGTATCCCTCGTATTGCAGCCTTGCCAAGCCCAACGAGTGATGAAAAAGAGTTATATCACCAGGGAATTCAATGGCTAGTAGCAGAGGTGGAAAATACTAGTTTACTATGGAACATTCTCATTTGTCTTTTATTTTTTTTCTCGTATTTTGTTATGGATCTTCCTTTTATCTTTTACCCCTTTCAATTCCATAAACAGAAAAACGTCTGAACGTTTTCCATGGAAGTTTAGGTTTTGCGGTTTTGTTGTCAAATTCAAGCTATCAGTAGACTACATTTCTTTATTCAATTCTGAAGTTTAATGCAAAACCATGTTTCTTATTCAACATTGTTGTTATGATTTACTTTATACTTGATGTCCTTTAGGAATGTGAAAATTCACAATATTTGTCCTTTGTTAGTAGTTTGGTTCATTCATGCTCCTACCGTTACTTAGTTGGGCCAAATATCCCCCTCATACAGGTCTGTGGCTGGCATAATTAGGCATTTGGAGTAAAGTCATCTTTCGTGTTTATTTCTCTCAATTATTTATGAAATGTTTCATTGTTCAAAAAAAATAATCTCTTTCTAGTTCTTCGTATGTATATGTTATTGAAACAATTGGTATGTTTGTTGTGTTATTGAAATAATGGCATTTGGTGGTTTCATGGAACGTAAAAACATGTTGTGGTTGAAAACAGTTTGATGATTTTTTTGTGGGGAACTTACATAAATATACTATAATAAAAAAAATATTTACCATTTATAGCAATAACATTTTTTTTTCACTCGATCACTTTTAATACATTAATAATACAGTTTTAATATACATTACAAAGAGCAATTTATTTTTCACATATAATACAAGTTTTATTGATGGATAATATATTTATCACACATTTTAATACACTTATAATACAATGTGTCAACTTCTTACCAAACAAGTATAATATATTTTAAAAACAATTATAACACATATATATTGCATACTTAACTCACTTTTAGTACATATTGCATATTTAGTATAGTATTGCTATAAATGGTAATAATAAAAAGTATCGCTAAAATTAATAATTATTCATGAGAAGATACCCATCCAAGTAATTTTTTCTTTTTATTGTTATGAAATTTTAGTTATGTAAAGGATTGTATAAGAATTTAATTTCTTCTTCCATATGAATTATTTACAATGTAACCCTACAATTGGTGATATGAAAATTATAGGATTTGGCTCCCCTCCATTACCCTTTTCCTTCATTTCGTCAAGTACACATCTAGATGAGAGCATGTGTACTATTTAATTGTTAAAGGTCAAGATTATGTTCCAAAACTTATTCACTTAATTATGGTTATGATACTAGTTAATGCAATATAATCTTGACCTTTATCAATTAAATAGTACATATGTTTCTCATCTAGATGTGTACTTGACGAAATAAAGGGAAAGGGTAATGGAGGGGAACCAAATCCAAAATTATATGGGCTGACTATCCAAGCGATTAATGAAATGGACTGAAAATCATGAAGTCTAAGATTAGTCGACGTGCATGCAATAATGCAAATTGGTCTGGACACCATGATTATAATAGTAGATAAGCAAATGAAAATATTTGTTTTCCAGTTCATTGTCTCAAAGACCCTATGTAAAATATGTTGGCCCATATGGAGAAGACTCAAAAGAAAACCCAGTCCAATTTCTTGAATATTCCTTTTTATCATGTTTCTCCACGTTATCTTACCCACAAGAACATACTTATATCTAGAGCTTTTGATTTAAATTGCACAAAATAATATTTGTAAGTTGCTATAAAATACATTTTATGTAATTTCTTAAATTGGTGAAATTTTTGCTTACAATTTAATTAAAATATAGCATAATAACGGCTAAGAACTAAATTGGATCAACTGTCCTTTCCATTAGTCTTCTAATTATACTCTTGTCAATTTTATGTGAAATAAAAGAATATTTTGCCCAGTTAAGTAACAATAAAGATATGATTAGGTCAAACTATTAACTGAGAACAAATATTATAAATTAATTTCATATTCTTGAACAACGTTTTGCACCCTTTTCCCATTAACCATCCCAAATATTCCTTTATTGAGAGGGCTTGACTTAAAAATCTTTTGGAACTCATTTAAGATTGAGGCTAAATGAGGCTTTTTAGCTTAGCCCGTGTACGTAGTTTTCAGATGTAGATCCAACTTGTTAAAAGACAGCCTAATCACAAGCGGATTCAAATGTGTTGGTGTTAGATCAACTCGCAACCCGTTTAGCAATGGATTGATTGACTATTTGAAGGCCCATCAAAATCGTGTGCCAGCTCACCCTCTCCCGTCAAACTTCAAAGCTCGTGTCATGTGTTGGATCGGCCTATATTGACAGCGAAAAATAACTTCATCTAATTAAGCACAAAATGTTACTACTAGCTATAGTAAAATACATTTAATTAAAATTTGCTGGATACAGTTGTACAATTTTTTTGTTTTTTTCATCTGAATTGGACACTACGGATAAAGATGGGTTATTTCCAGAAATAATCGTAAGGATTGAAAAAGACATATTATTCCCCAACTGCCAACTTGCATGTGATTGAAAATAAGTTGACAGACTTCTTTGTATTTTTTTAATTAACCACTTGCACGATGCATTTATTTTTTTTTAAAAAAAACCCTGTTGGAAATGTACTCTTTGAGTGCATTTGAGGATTAGAATTTTAAGTTTATAAGTTTTGAATTTTAAAAAAATTAGCTCAGCGAATTCTTGATAAATATATATTTATACATGTTAAGTGATTTTTTAAATACGAATACAAAATATGAATCAAAATTCTTGAATTCATAGAGAAATTAAAACTATAGCTCCGCCAATGATTATGGTAGTTCTAAACATAACTGTGATATATATCAAATGCTTTCTTTTTTATTTATATATTATATATATATATAACAGGAAATTTGGTGTAGTCTCATCTTTTCAATTAAAGAAAGACTGTCCAAATTTCATTCCCCTACAAGTCATGTGCTTAATATTATAACAAATGGGACATACAAATTATGTTGATAATAGTTATACTAGTCTAGAAGACATGCATATTAATTAATGAACTTTTTTTTTTTTTTGAGGTCTTCGATTCATTATTCACACACCAAGGCCTACGTATGAGGGTCATTCATAAATATATAAGAGGTCATTTTTGCAAAGTTTCCAATTAATTACATCTTTCTCCAATCTATGCAATAGGCAACAATAGGCTCATTAGAGCTTACAATACGTGAATTGTACAGTTAATGATGGAGATCAATTACTAGGGCCATTAATGTACGTGTCTTTAAATTTGGTCTAAGTTGACATCTATTTTCTTCAATTTTAGATATGTCTAACAGTTTAAGTAGATACTTAAATTTGTATAAATTAAAGTTGAACCAGTAGAGATGTGAGTCCTATGTGACAATACACTCAAACATTAAACAAGTTTAAGTGTCTTAGCCTATTATATCTCATCACTCGAATTGTCACGCACATGTGATTTACATATTCAGCTTTACACAAATTTAAATATTTATTCGTACACACTCAAAATTGAACAACATAACAACATTTGAAATTAAGTTAAATGGCACGCATATAGTGATTTGAGATTTGTCTTTTTTCTAGGTCAAATTTGACGGGGCAAGATGTGTCAAAATTTGTCTTCACTAGTATTTGATTTTCACAGTGTATTAATTAATTGTATTTTTTTTGGGTGGGGCTCATTGTAATATTATTCAAATAATATGAGATATGGTATCTATCCTCCAACACATAAAATTAGCTTAGAGATATTTCAATTGCAAGTTTCCTATTTTTTCCCTCATAGATGTGTGCGTATATATATAAATAATAAAATGGAATATAATATAAACAAAAGAACCATTTTATGGTTTTGTCAAGGGGTGTGCAGTTATATATTTCGATTTTGATAAATAGGCATATATGTTTAAGTTCAATTTGTATATATGAGTTGATGAGTAAGATAATGCTAATGTTTTGAGCTATTAATGTTAAATATTATAATAACAGGAAAATTAGGCATACTATCTTTCAATGACATAATCAAACATATCATATTCACGAGACAAAATGATACATGGATTGAAAAAAAAAATGAAGAAAACAAAAATGTGTTGGCAATTGAACCAAACAGAAATAAAAAAACATTTTGATGGTTTAGCATATGATGTGTTTGATATTGACGAAAATATTTTTTGTAATTTTTTATGTTTTGAAATAAAAATCTCTAGGAAATTAATTTATAAAATGACTTTTCTAGTAGGACGACTAGCAAGGTAAAATAATTTTTATAACTGGTATTTCAAGTTTATTATCTTCTTCCTAATCTCGACAAATCCATCCATCACGCCTTAATCACACCAGTCCCTACCACCCTCGACACCCCATTACGACAAAAATAATTTTTAGCGGCAAAAAATATAGACATTAATGAAAAGTGTTAAAGTCTTTACCGAGAATTAGTTAAGTGTCATTAGAACCAATATCGCTAAAGGCTTGAGTGACATACACAAGAGTGTTAATTGCTGCTAAAAATACATATTTAGCGATAGTTAAATTATTATCGTTAATTAATTGCTGCTAATGATTATTTTTTATATGGTGCTCCTTCCCCTAATTCAGAAATCTTTTTCTAAATTACATATAAATATTCAGCAGAATTTTTTTTATAAAAAGTATTAAATATTTTTGTTCATACCAAAACACCCTCATATATAAGGTTCTTGTGTATATTTTATTTTAATCCTGTAACCATTATTTTCTCTCTTTAAATTAATTAAATACCTATATATCTCAAAGTTTGATGGTTATATTTCTAGATTTGGAAGTGTTATAGGAGTAACAAGGATAGTGAAATTGGTGATAGAGGTGCACTATATATTGAATTTTTTAATTCCTTGTGACGACAGTATCAAACATATATTCAATAAAATTAAATAATTTGATATCAGCTACAGCTATAATAATCAGTTGTCCATATGGTATGATATGATACTTGACCACCCATTTGGTATCAATCATGCTAGACTGTCTCTACCTATTCATGTTACTTTTTTATTAGAAAAAAATATTTATTCCAAAAAATATATTTTCTTAGTATCTTTAATTATTGGAATTGGGCATAGAATGTAATTTCCATTATATCCCAGATAAGAGAAAAATTAAATTAACAATAGATCGAATAAATAAATAGGAAATCAATTGGTTTTGATAGCTTTCTATGATATTATGCAGTATTTTAAACGGCGAGGCGTGAGACGAGGCGTTTTACTTAGTATAGGGCAAGGCCTAAGCCTCGAGACGTGGGGAGTAAGTCCTGTATGGATTTTAAAATTTTTAATTTATAATTTAGTATAACAATATAATAACACTAAATTATAAAAATAAATCAATAGTTTGAAATAATTATAAATATGATTAAATAAACTAATAGAAAATAAAAGTTCTAACATGATTATATAAGTATAAATAATCTAATATCTTAACTTTCTAATAATAAAAGAATTATTATTTCTCAAAAAATATATTCTTATCATACCGTACAATTCACCCCCTAAAAGAAAATAATTAATAAACTTACCAGTATTATGATAAAAACATCACTCTATCATGAATAAAAATAAAATTACTTTCAAATGACTAAATAAAGTATGATAATTTTGAGACATATGACAAAACCATGAAGACCAATAATAAGTGAAAAAGTAAAATTTCGCGACATATTTTTTAAAAGAAATATTACATAATATATAATTACTTTCACGGTGTTACCAAATAGGAAAGATATGGTACTAAAACTTGTTGTTTGAGTTATTCTCAATCTTCTTATCTCAATAGAATAAAAATTATTAAGTATCATTTAATTATTCAAGAATTATGAGGGTCAACAGTGTTAACTAAAGATTTTAACACATAATTTGTATAAGATCTGTTAGGCGAGCCTCGAGCGTAAGTCTTAGAGAACTAAGCCCCACACTTGAGTTTTGATGTGTTTTGTTAGAGGCCCGCCCTAGTGTGAGCCCCAAGGCGAGTCCCAACAGAGTTTTTTAAAACACTAATATTATGCCTTCATAGTGATTCACTAGTATGCGTATTAAGAATTAATAAACTAACATAGGGTTTGTTTGATAAGGTATACAAGAATAATAATGTTGAATGAGTATATTAGTAATGTTTGTATTAGATTTATTGAGATTATTTCTTATGCGGTGTTTGATTTATTCGGTATATTAAAAATTAAACATATTACATACCTTCTGCAATAAAGATGTTAGTTTACAGAAATAACCACCATTCTTTAGCTTTGGGAAGTGGGAAATATCTTAAGAGGTCATTTGAGAGATAGTTATGTCATTAATATTATCTAATGCATGTGTTGACACTTTTTTAAAAATTTTTCTAATATATGAAAATTCATGATATTAGTAATACAATACACTTCAATATGTATATAACTAATGCAATCATTAGTATACATATATAGCTAAAAATTGTACCAAATAAAATACTAACAATACACAAAGTTAATATATTTAAAGATATGACACTTGAACCTAATTCAACCCCAAGCGTTAGCTCATGAAGAGATGATTACCCAAGTCCATATAAGAAAACCACCAATCCATTCTCTAATCAATGTGAGACTTTTACCATCCTAATAATGTGTACATTATCTTTTTTCAATACACTATACCAAACGATCCGTAATATCATAACAAAGTCAATAAATGGATTCTTATAGATCGTCCGGTCCCTTTTAGGATGGAGACTTGATTACTTAGTTATTCATGGTTGTCTTAGTTATTTATGTGAATTGAAAATAGATAGTTCAATTATTAGATTCTGGTATGTTAACATTAATAAGGAAATTTAGGTAACGTGGCATGAAGTGGAACCAAAAGAAGGTGTATGTGATTATGTCTCTGTCTTGCCCAATTTGCCAAATCGAGTGTGTAGTGTAGCAGAGCCAGCCCATTTATGGAGGGGCCCGTCTGCACCGACGCGTTCGTTTAGCCGTCAAAAGTTACGCAGAAACACGAACCATACATACCACATGCACTTATTGGGTAACTGCACTACAAATAACGCTGTTCACTACCCGTCATTTTCCTTTATCCACTTTTCTTCTCTCTCTATTTGTCGGTCACAAATTTTGATATTGTTACATAGAAATAAAGGAATTTTTTTGTTATACTTGTTGTATAATTTTTTATTATAATTACTTTAATATTTATTTTTTAGTTGATATTTCTTCGGTAGAGGATTGGGTGAAACTCAATAATGACAAAATAAAGATGTATTATTAAATAATTGTCAAATAAAAAAAAAAAAATTTTAGATGGACTACTAACAAAGAAAGAGTCACATATATTAGAGGAAGTATCGTTCTATATTTTAAGATTCGATGATTTGAATTAAATTTAAACAGATAAAAAGAAGAGAAAAGTTTGTATATAGCAACACTAATTTTAAAATGTAAGCATAATACATTATATTGTATATGTTACGTATAATAAGCATATAATATCTATTTATTCAAATTATGCGGATATAAAATAAATTTAATTAAATAATACACTTTACAATCATCATCCAGAAATATCACACATCCAACTAACCTGTATATACCATATATTTTACTTACAGATAACATGCTCATATTTGTATTTTATGAAATACACTTATATATCATCACAAGAAAAATTCACTCCCACCCGCTATAAAAAAAATCACTTGTATGTCATTGTATAATAACTCGTATTCAACATTCTACATCACATACTTCAAACAACAAGATTTAATAATTTTTTTAATTTATTAGACTTATTTTTTTTTAAAAAAAAATCGTATAAAATCGAAAAAAACAAAAGCACGCGCTATTTGGTCGAGTGAGATGAATGGGGTCATAAAATTTTCCTCCTCGGTCTGAGGTGACAAGGCTTTTCTCTGATACGGGCATGTGCATGTCCCCGTTAATTACTCCCCCAATGTGCAATTACCCACTAACTCTAACCTCTCTTTGGGACAATTATTTGAAAGGCCAAATTTGTTTAATTTTTTTGGTTTTTCATCCGTTCGATACTTATATTGGAGCTCAACTAAATTTGAATTTATATTAAAAAGTGCATATTAAGCAGTAAAGTGCTACCTAACAAAAATGACTATGTATTCAGGGGGAGTCGAATTTGAGACTAGTGACAGACTCATAATTTTCAATAAGGAGGTTCAAAATCTATAGAAATAGACACACGAAGTAGCTTGAAAGAGGTTCGACACCACCTATACATACATAAAAAGTTATTTTAAGCAGGTATAAATAATAAAAAATTTCGCCAAAGAGAGTTCGAATATGTTTGAGACTACTAATAAGGATAAAAGAATACTTATTATCACTGCATCACAACCTTTGTTGACGAAAGGACAAGTTACAACCACCCAAAATTTCAAAAATCTAACTTTGTTTCAACTTTCAACCACGAGTCCAACTCACTCACTTTTACACCTATAAATAACCAGCCATTACACTTCCTTTTTCCTCACTCCCATTGGGTCATATTCATTCTCAAAAATAGAAGTAAAAAACACAAACACAAGAGAAACAAAACACTGATCTCTGATTGGCTTGGTTTTTCTCATCATGGGTACCATAAAAGGAGTTTTATTTAGTATTGTTTTGATTAATTTGTCACTTGTGGGATTTTGTGGGTATCCTAGAAGGCCAGTAGATGTGCCCTTTTGGAAAAACTATGAGCCAAGTTGGGCTAGTCACCACATTAAGTTCCTCAATGGTGGTGCCACTACTGATCTTATTCTTGACAGATCTTCAGGTACTAACTAGACTATGTTTTTCAATTTGATGTCTGAGACATAATTTTTTGAGATAATAATTATTAATTGAGTTATCGTAAACTTCACATTTTCTATATTCTTACATTTTCTTATTGTATTTGAAGGAGCTGGATTTCAGTCAAAGAAATCATATCTGTTTGGGCATTTCAGCATGAAAATGAGGCTCGTTGGTGGAGACTCAGCTGGTGTTGTCACTGCATTTTACGTAAGTATATACTACTACTCGCGATTCAATTTATGTATCTTACTTTTCTTTATTTATTTTCAATTTATGTATCTTACTTTTCTTTATTTATTTTTAAAAAAAACATAAGTTTCTATAGTAATTCCTTATTATTATTTTTTCATCTCGGATGGTATGTTTGAAAATAATCATAAAACTGCATTTTGTTAGTATATTATATGCATATGCTCAATTTAAAACGAGAACATATTTTTTCATTACTTGGAGTTGTTCTGTTTTGTTGCACTATGCTAGAAAATGGACACTAGTTAGATCTGTATTACTAGTAGTATTTCTTTTCTCATTTCTTCAACGACATATTATGTTATCATGACTAATTTTATGTCGATGATTTTCGATTTACTTCAACTCTCCTCCTTTATGGAGTATGTTTTTTTGTTCAGAGTGAAGTAATAATGAAATACTACTACTATTTGTTTTTCAGCTGTCATCGAATAATGCAGAGCACGATGAGATAGATTTTGAATTTTTGGGGAACAGAACAGGGCAGCCATACATATTGCAGACAAATGTGTTCACAGGAGGAAAAGGAAACAGAGAACAGAGAATCTATCTTTGGTTTGATCCAACCAAGGGCTACCATTCTTATTCTGTTCTTTGGAACACATACCTCATTGTGTAAGTTATTACTACTACTTCTTTAGTTTAAGTATTTTATTCCATATTCATCCATTACTTAGATATTAATTAATAGTGAGATGAATTATTTAATGGAGTACATCTAATCAAACAGCAGGATGAAATAATTTAGAGATTTTTAATCTTGTTTCATTATTGTTGTTTCTGTAAAGTTTCTTCTTATGTGGTCCCAATTATTTCTTGGGATGCGTGCACTTGGTTTTACTCTACGTGGTGGTCCTACAACTACAATGCTTAGAACTAGTGTGCTAACAATTGTTTAATACAAAATGCACATTTGTCTAGGAATTTGTTTAAGTTAAAAGGATAAAAGAAGCATGAAAACCTGTAAGTTTAACATGGTATAAACATTAAGAACCTTTGTCATGTGAGTATGTATGTTGGTCCTTTTGTGATAATCAAGATTTATGTTTTTGATAAATTTACTTTTAATGGTATGTATGTTAATGCTTATTATACATGTACAATCAATATTTATGTTTTTGATAAATATACTTTTAATAGTATGTATGTTAATGCTTATTATACATGTACTCCTTCTTGACTTCATCACAAAATTTTAGTTAGACCTTGGTCAAAACTGACATCTATGATCTTTAATTTTGGATATTAAACATTTAAATCGATATGATGTTAAACATATTGTGACGATTCGTATGAAATTTCCAGATTTTGTTTGTAAATGTCCATTTCAAATTATTTGGTCCTACATACTTTAAGCAAGCTGGCTAATTGGTGTCCTTGCGACAAATTTTTTGTCTTCTATCTTGCACCTAAAAGTAATGTTTCCTCGTAAAAAGTGATCTTTTTTTCTTTCAAAAGTTCTGTGGAAGACTATTCACCACTTTGCTTTGAAAATTTAGTACAATAGTTGAAAAGATGCTCAAAAGCAATAAACAATTTTTTCTTCTATTATTCAACAATGGGCTTTTTCCATTGGGCCTCTACCAAATGGATTGGGCTAATATATTTGTGTTAACATTTCAGGATCTTTGTGGACGACGTCCCAATTAGAGCATTCAAAAACTCAAAAGACCTTGGTGTGAAATTCCCATTCAATCAGCCAATGAAGATATACTCAAGTCTTTGGGACGCAGATGATTGGGCCACAAGAGGTGGGCTTGAGAAAACCGATTGGTCCAATGCCCCATTTACCGCGTCATACACATCGTTCCACGTGGACGGATGTGAAGCTGCCACGCCACAAGAAGTCCAAGTTTGTAACACTAAAGGCATGAAATGGTGGGATCAAAAGGCCTTCCAAGATTTAGATGCATTACAATACAGGAGACTTCGTTGGGTCCGTCAAAAATACACTGTTTATAACTATTGCACTGATAAAGCGAGGTACCCTGTTCCGCCACCAGAGTGCACTAAGGACAGAGATATTTAAAATCATAATCAATATTTAGAGGGATTTTATAAAAAAAAACTTAATATGCATTATGTGTGAGTATTTTAATGATCCTTAAAACAAAGTGCTTTTAATTAAGCTGTATTTCCCTAATTCTTTTTGAGTGTATCATTATTGGTGGAGTCATGAGGATATTATGTATCTCATGCCAGGCCCTTCATGTCTCTTGTGTGTCATCATCATCATCATGACTGATGTATTGTAATTTATTGAACTATTGGTTACTTATCTGTTAATTAAAAATATGAATTAATACCTTTTTTTATTTAAGATGTTTCTCGATGAGCGTAGCTTTCATTTTATTTTATTTTGATTTTTCACCATGTGTATTGGTGTACACCTTGAAGTTCGATTAAATCATGATTTACGTTAAAAAATCTTACATTAAGGGATAAATTATTTTCTAACAAAAGGCGACTTACTAGTAATAGGTTTTATTTTGATTTGGAATATTTATTGGTTACCAACAAATGTAGGTAAAATTTTGAGCTTTAACTTTTTGGTGGTTATAACTTTTAAGGTTTGTAATTAATTGATTTTATTGCTATATGATATTCTCCGCGTAGTCATATCCTATGTATAGGGGTTTAAAGTCGTGTCATCATGAATTGGTCTGCCACTGCCTATGGTTTAGTGGTTTTGCCCTAAAACAAGAGGCTCTTAAGTCTTAACTCAATGGCTGCTTACCTTCTCACCTCTTACCAACTCCTAATTACTCATCCATCCATAATAATCTCCACTACCATTATTAAATTATAATCACGTGCGCACGAAATCATAGTAGCTCAGTTGGTTTGGTTTTTTATCTAAATTTTCATCTTATTCGTGAGGGTTCGATACTCCACATTGTAAACACACCAAAATCATGAACATTTATTACTATTCCGTCTATTTCAATTTATATGTTTGATTTTGACTTGACACACATTTTAATAAATTAAGAAGATTTTTGAATTTATGATTGTAAATCAAAGACACATTGACTGTATCATAATGTTATTTAAAATCTTATGATTTTAAACATGTTACGTGGAAAGTTAAAATAAAAGAGCGGTAAATTTTTTTAAAAAAAGACACGTTCGTTTTGAATAAAACTTTTTTAAAAAAGTAGATAAATAAATTAAAACACAGGAAATACAATAATATTCTTATTTTTGATGGAAGATGAGCATTAATCCATTTGGATATTGTTTTCTCTTTTGGTCATTTTTCTAATGGAGGAGTACTCATTAGTACTAATTGTTAATGATGTCTCAGTTAGTTAATGGAATGCACTTTGACATTTAAGCCATTGACCACTTATTGCTTGATTATTTAAACTTCCCTTCAACCCCCAACCAAAAGAAAGAAAATTAGTTATTGATTAAATTTTTTATAGTTCGAAATTTCATTTTAAAAAATCATGGAGTTTTGACTGTGAAGAGTTCAAAATTCCAAGAAATTTTAAAAACTTGGGAACTCGAATTGATGAAAATGTTCAAACCTCATTATAGATATCGTTTCTCTATTTTAAATTATTTATCGTAATTTTAAAAATAATTATTTTAAGTTAGTTTTAGAAGTTCAAGATAATTTTTTTTTTTCATTTTACCCTTGATGGCGACATCATTTATAAATTATATTACGATTATCTAAATACCAATAAAGAGTAAAATAATTTGAAACTTCTCCTAATTAATATTTTTAAGGGGTGTGGAACTAATAATGACGATAGATTATTTGAGAAGGAAAAGTAGAGTTTTCCACAATTACTCTAAATTCTTTCAAATTTTATTTTCACTCTAAAAAAAATTATATTTTTTAATTATATTTTAAATGATGGCCAAACTTTGAATACCAGCCCAAAAAGTTAGCAGTCCCTCCAGCTTTTTCGTGATAAATAAAAAATAAAAAAATGTGGAGAAAGCTGGAGAGTAACTATTTGTCTTGTGATCAATTCATCTGTTTATAATCAAATCAATTTAATCTACACGTATAATGATTTCAAAAGGTTAGTGAAATAACTAACCTAGACTAAAAATAATTAAAAACAATAACACCATTCAACCTTATCCTAAAATCTTCATTGTCGACGAGGACTTAACATAGAATTATAGAAAACCAAAATTGATTGTACTTATCACCCTAGAGAATTAGTTGCTAAGAAAGTTATTTTGGTTGAAATAATCCGAATCAAAATAAATTAAATAACTATGATAGTCTAATTCGCTTAGTTCTTAATAAGTCTTAATTTTATTTTATTTTTCTAATAACTTATTTAATTATCTAATAAAAATATTTTTAACAATATTTCACATATTGGATCATTTTGTGTTGCAAATCACTCAAACTTTTAAATAAATTAGTTAAAATAAGCTGTATAAATGAATGAGTCATTAACACGTCCAAACTTAAGCACATTGATAGATAATAATTTCATCAGCTAAAATTGAATTATTATTTTTCCACCTCTAGTCAAAAACTACACCAGTAATATTATCAACTTTACCAGTAAATGGGATATATAATTATACTTTAATTGGAATAATACTAGAATGATTAAGCCGTAAACCTAGGATTATTTGAGAGATTTGGTAAACCTCAACAAATCATGAATGTTTGTGTATTTATTTGTTTATTGGTTTTTTTGGCATATAATACAATTTGGGTTTTAGTAGTAGTAGGTGAAAAATGGAATAGAAATGGGAAGTTAAAACTGTGGGCTGCACCATGAAAGAGTCAACTAAAGTCAGCCATTTATTATATGAGCTGTAATAAAATGCAATTTAATTAAATAAGCAACTTGTTAAACATCTTTATGATCTCATGGCAACATCACTTAAGATTCTTTAGGTGAACTGCCCACAAAATGCCATGAGAGTTTACAGGGCCATCATCCCATAATTCAACCTTTTTCAATTAAAATATCAAAAATTAATCAAATTTATATATATCTTTAGATTTCTCTGTGATTTGAGGGCCGTTAATGACATATACGTAAGAGGTCATATCTTGATCTCTGAATATCCCATGAATTTATGAAATTTTCGAGATGCCTCTTAAAGGAATATAATACCATTTGCATAGACATGAACTAGACTTTAGGGTAGAGTAACCTCCAAGAATCTTAAGTGGAATCGAACACGTCTGTTGAGTCTCACAAATTTTAATGTCTACAAATAGGGCAAATACAACTTTCTGATATTGAGTACCTAGTACTTTCATAATACATAATTTTTTGTGTAAAAATTCAATAAAATTATATAAGGAGTGTAGATATGAAACCGATAACTTCAAATATTCTATAGCTAAGTTCAATGCTAAAAATTAAACTTTAAAAGTTGAATCTATAAACTTTAAGGATGTTCGATTGACATACGATATGCATGTGATCTATCAAAGGCGTCATTGAACTCCTACCCATACTAAACATTTGCATGACCTTATAGGATTAGTGTCATGCACTCTATATATCTATATGTTGTCCTTACCAGGCTCATGTCAGCGTGGCCTTACAAGGCTCATATCAGTGTGCAACTTTCAACCTACATGTCATCATGTGTATTATAAGTCTCATGTCAGCATGCGCCTTCCAACCTATGATTTAATAACATCCATCCTTCCATCCAAATGTTGTCTTTTTGGTTTGATCCTCAATTTTTGTTGCCTTTTTAAAAAAATTACTCAATTTTTTTTGCTCTTTTGGCTCCGAACTCTATATATATGTGTAAAGTAGTCATAGGCATTAGATGATCATTTTGCACCATTTTTAATGACTTTTTCCATGTATATCGAAACTTAGAGATATTCATTTGTCTTTCATTTTCTACTATCCAAATTCATGGAAGAAATGAGTGAGAACAAAATAAGCATGTTGATTGCAAAACTTCAATAAGATAGGTCAAAAGGAAAAATAAAAATAAAGAGAAGAAACATTATCAGAGTAATCATGACTGTGACAATGTTTATTCTCAATTTCACAATAGCATATCTCATATATATTCAATTCAACTAATTTTGTTAAACCTATTACACTCTACCAAGTTTCTATATATTATTATCACAAAACAAGTATTAGGTGAGATGTTATTACACATCCATTTAGTTAAAATTCCTACATTCATCTTTTTCATGTATTATATATTCTTAAATAGGACTATCATGTTCAACTTTTGACCTTATAATTACATCCAATTTCATATAGAAAAACAAATAATTATAAAATGTTTGACCACTTACATGAGTTCGTTATATTTTTGTAAGTTGGAGAGAAATTCCCAATAATCACAAATATTCAAAAACAATACAAAATCCGCCCCCTGATTTCCCTCTTATCTGACTTTTCTCTTCTCCCTTAATTCCTTGTATATATATATATATATACACATCACCTTTCTTCTTCAATTTCTCAACTCAATACTCTTATTACTATTTTTTCAATCTTTCTCATAATTTTTTTTTTCTACATTATTGTTACATAGGTCGATACTACTTGTTATTAATTTCATTTTGAAAACAAAAAAAACAGAGCGGGAAAATCAAATGGAGATCGAAAACACGAGGGATTCAGATAGTATGAGAGGATCGAGAGTAGGATTCAGCGGTTCATTAGTCAGTGGGAAGAAAAGTGCAAGGTTCAAAGATGATGAATCGTATGTAGAGATCACTCTTGATGTTCGCGATGATTCTGTTTCGGTACAAAACATTAAGGGAGCTGATCATGAAGCTGCATTGTTAGCTAGCAGGCTCGAAAAGAGGCCTAACAATACGCTTGGATCACAACTTTCGTTTCATCTGAGGCAAGTTTCGAAGGAATTGAAAAGAATGACTTCTTCTAATAAGTTTCAGAAAATTGATAGGAGTAAGTCTGGTGCTGCTCGTGCTCTACGTGGACTTCAGTTCATGAACAAGAATGTAGGAACTGAAGGATGGTCTGAGGTTGAATCGCGATTCGATCAACTTGCTGTTAATGGAATGCTAACAAAATCATTGTTTGGTCAATGCATAGGTTTGTTTGTTCATTACACAAATTCTTTTGGATTTATACAATAAAGTTGATAATAATAATAACGACATTTTGTACTTGTAATCAGGTATGAAGGAATCAAGTGAGTTTGCTGAGGAATTATTTGATGCTCTAGCTAGGAAGAGATGCATCACATCTCCCGCGGTGACTAAAGATGAGCTACGCGAATTCTGGGAACAAA